GGAAAGTGTGCTTCTGTTCATCTTGGACCCCTTCACGTGGATCTGATGGTAACTGCAAAACATGGAGACATCATGCAAAGAGTAGGCAGACCCTCACGGTGGCCCAGTCTGGCCAGATCCAACACTCAAAGGCATGCCCTGGTATCAGACCCCTGCTCAGGGAGAATGTGGAGAAAATCCACTCTAGTTTAGTGAACAGCGAACAGACTGGCGTGTGTTTCCTGTGGCACGTGTGCACTTGAAGCTCTGTGGTCCAAAGGCTGCTGGTCAGGCCACCTGGGTCCTTCTCGCTCCCACGCTGACACTGCCTTGATGTATGACCCTGAGCAAGTCATAGAGTCTCTCTAAGCCACAGTTTCTTGTCTTCAAAATGGGCAGAAAACCTGCTTAGTCTATAAAGTGTAACAAATGACACACATCTTCCTAATGCTCAGGAGCTTTTTGAGGGGAAAGTGAAAATACAACGTAATATTGTTTTTAAATCCAGTAGTCCCCCCCTTATCTGTGTTCTAAGGCTCTCAGTAAATGCCTGAAACTGGAGATAGCATCAAACTCTGAATGTAAATTAAGTGTTATTTGAACACAGCACTGTAATCGCATGATAGTTGATCTGATGCTTGAGAAGACTGCTGTGCAATGAATGGGTGGGTAGCATATACAGTGAGGATACGCTGGACGAAGGGATCATTCATGTCGTGAGCAAGATGGAGTGGAGTGATACAAAATTTCATTGCACTGCTGAGGACGGTGGGCAGTTTAAAACTTATGAATCATTTATTTCTGTAATTTTCTATTTTAAAATTTCAGACTGCACTGACCAAAACCACTGAGAGAGAAACCATGGATAAGGAAATCACTGTAGTTGAAAACACAACAAAATGCAAACTATAATCATCATTATTTTTTATTGAAACCTGAGTTCTTTTTTTTATTCACTCTAAGCTGAAAATCTGAACATATTACTGAAAAGTAGATTAGAAAATGTCTGTGGGTGAAAGAAAATCATTTCCAGTCCCAGAAATACCAAAAATCCTGAAAAACTTTTATTCTCTGAAAACCCAGCTCTGTGGAGGCTGAGGGCATTTATCATTTTACAAAACTGAAAACAACCAAGGGGTATTTTATCAAATCGGAAACAAATCATTGGAATCTAGTCCCTGTGTGCCAATCTTCAAGTAGTATGGGTAGTAAGAGAGGTGTCACTATTTCTATTGAGCAATGACAGCCATCTGAAAACTGGGGTTATAATGGACAGTCTTGCAAAGTTTTATAGCAGTCCTAAATGACAATCTAATGCATCCAAAGCCTCTCGATCCCTTACTTAAGCCAGCACTTCAGAGGAATGGAAGACGCATAAAATTCAGGGGCTGGCAATTTATACTTAATCTCTGTAAAGACCGTGTGTTCAGGGAGATCCCTGCTCTGCGAGATAGTATCTGAGCATCAACATCTCCAGCTACATAAAACGGCTTATCAGGAGTAAACATATTAATTTGACCCCGAGGGAGAAAAAGTGAGAGCAAATCAACCAAACCAGAATGAGCCATTTACATTCTTCATTTCTGAAGATAAATTCTTCATTCATTTTCATCTTGTAATCAGGCACTTTCCAAATACACACACAAAAAATCTCATTTTCTATCTCTAAGGCATATGTGTCTCCTCGCTCCAATATGTCCTGTTTTTAGGAAGTAGAGATGGTTCAAAATTACATTTTAAATAGAAAAAAAACCCCCAGTCTCTCTATAATTAGTGAATGCAACCAGATTATTTGCAATCAACATATACTTAATGCCTTATTACCCTAATGGAAGATATTGTAAGTGATGATAAAATTGGCAGAAAGAAGCTATGCTAATAATAAGTGATGATAAAATTGGGATTATTAAGTGATAAAAACCTTTTATCTTTTGCTTGTTTTTTTTTCTCCCCCATCACTAATCTATCCAAGTTCATCCCTAATGAGAAAAGCTGGATGAACTCTCTAGGCCAATAAGGGGAAAGAGCCACACCTTTACCCACAGCCACAACAGATGGGTCGGCCGCCAGCCTCAGAGGGTAGAAGAGGGCCCGACAGTTGGAGAAAGCCCTAGACCTATTCTTAGCATGCTCTCTAGGGTTTTGCCCATTGGTGCATTTCTCTTTGTTCCCACTCTGCGGTTTTGCTGTTGGCCTATGACTCCCAGGCTCTGCATCAGAGACGGGACGGGAAATGAAGCAATTATTTTGCATGCAGAGTGCACCAGGTAAGTGAGGGGGGTCCTGGGCTCCAGGGGCAAGGGCTTCTTATCCCCGGAGCCTGGGACATGCAATGACTGCAAAAGTGTTCTCCATACCCCAGAGGCTCACCCACGCTGGTCGACACTCACATATTGAATAAACTCACGGGAAAAATAAATCTGCGTGGATGGCCACGTAGGTTGGGAGGGACTCTGACTTTGCTGAACGCTCGGATGGTATGTTGTATCCATGGGAATGAGGTCAACAAGGGAGACCTTTCTTCAAGGGTGAAATGCACAGAGGTGCTCTGGAGAAGGGCATGCAGCTGTGTCTTTGGCCTGCAATCTCTGGCTCGGGATATTCTCTAGTGAAAAAGGGATATGTTCGTTACCGCCCTAGACTATAAGCTTGGAGCAGGTGGGCGGTTTGGTCCTGGACCACTTGATCCTCAGCACCTAGGACAGAGCCCACGAGGCACTCAGCAGATGCTGGGGGTTGCCATCGCCCGGGTTTGTGAAGAGGAAACAGGAAGTCGATTATCCCTCACATCCAGATCTCCTCATCTTTCCAGGGCCCCTCTGTCTTTCAAGAGGCCAAAGTTTGGAAGCTCTGGGTCACTTTTATTCTTCCTCCCATGTTCCCCACATTCTATTAGTTGGCACATCTTGTCTTTTCTGACTGCAGCTTCCTTTGTATTCCCTCTAGCGTGGCCCTGGGCCTGGCCTGCAAGCTACGCAGCCACTGCAGCCTCCACTCTGGCCTCCGGGTCTGGCCTCCCTGCCTTCACAGTGCACCCTACAGTACAGGGCAGGATGGATCTCTCTCAAAGACACCTGCAACCATTGTTCGGAAGTTTGCCGAAGCTCCTCGCTGCCTGTGGAGCCCGATGTCGCTCTCTCAGTTTTGCCTTCTCTAGGTACATGACATTTTAAAGGTCTTCTCTGGTTTGGGCGTGATTTGCTTCAAACGTAAGTTTTATTATTCTTCAAGTCTGGTGAGGCCCATGGATCAGGAGATGAGTCATTGAAAAGGCAGTTTACTCCTCACAGATCCCATGAAGAGGGGACACACACCAGGCAGGGACCAAAAGAGATGCACCAGGTCCATCAGGAGTTAGAGGAAGCAAGGGGAAGACGTGAGCCAGAGACTTCCCTGGGTTTCTGTAGGAGGAACGGGAGAGGCAGGACAAACAGGCTGGGACCGGGGAGGTTGAATCATTTTTGTGGGCTCTGGGGAGTAAGGGCTGCCCTGGGTTGTCTGCTACCTGAAGGACAGGTGGACAGTGGCCCAGAGTAGAAGAGGTTGATCAAGGAAGCACTTGGGGGTATGGGTTCCAGGTTGGTTGTTTTATAGATGAAAGATACAGCTTCAGCCATCTGCCATCTCTGGGAATCAGCGAGGCCCCAGGGTGTCACAGCATCAGGGGATGCAGAAAATAAAGACAGGATTAATATAATGGTCTAAAAAAACCCCAAGCCATTTCACATTCCATAACACTTACCCTCGCCATCCTGGCCCTGAGGCTGGGTGCCCCGTCCCAGCCATAACCAGACACCTCCTGTGCCAGGACCTGCCCTTCGTTGGCTAGACAGTTCTCAACAGGGATGGGAAATTGGACTCGGGTTTCTGGTGTCTGCTCTCCGGGGAACTGCTGATCCTTATACTTGGAGGGGACCCCCGTTGGGGTCTCAGCGCTGATGGCTGGCCGCATCCCTGTCTGGAAGCCTGCTGTGGTCCATTTCCTTCACAGATGGCTGTCAAGAGTCAAACCGGTCATCGGTTCAGCCAGGCAGATGCCATTGCCAATTCATAATGTTTAAAATCCTCAACTCAAGCGACTTGGTTAATTTTTAATGGCTGCGTCTGTGCCCCTGGATGCTGGCTCCTGAGATCCAGCCTCGGCACTCAGCCTCCCGATTATGTAAGGACTTGGCCAAGCCCCCAAAAGGCTTCTTTTTTTTCCATCTCATAGGCTTTTATTCCAGCTTCAGGATCACATCAATTCCACCTGATTACTCACTTCCTTATTTAATTCACAAAATTTAGTCATCTGTTTTATTAAAATGGTGGCCGACCCAAATCCCATTACATGGAAAAGCGCTTTACCTTCAGTATTCCAGGAGAATGTCTTTTTTTTTTTTTTTTGGTACTGGGGATTGAACTCAGGGGCACTCGACCACTGAGCCACATCCTCAGCTCTACTTGTTATTTTATTTACAGACAGGATCTCACTGAGTTGCTTAGGGCCTCACTGAATTACCAGGACTGGCTTTGAACTCGAAATCCTCCTGCCTCAGCCTCCCGAACTGCTGGGATTACAGGCGTGCGTCACACACCCAGCCTCCTTTTGAAGACAGTTTCATTTCCATTTTTTTTTCACCAGAAAACGTATGGATAATGAACAAAAAGATGAGACCGGGATATTGTCATTTCTTACCTACTCCTCAACATCTTTCTTTAAAAGATGTTCGTTTATTAAAATTTACTATATTTTGGTACTTGAAAAAAACTACATATGTACATATATGGCTATAGTTACATAGTTTTTAAAATCATAACATTTTACATTTACTATTTTATTTAAATATCAGATAATGTATGCATTATGTATACATATACATTATATATGTCAAACCTACATGGGTGTGTGTATACATGCATCACATGGCATACACACACGCCATAACACATACACATATCTGATGTTCATATACCTGTATATATGTATGTCCACTTACGTATGTATATCTGATGTACATAGATATCATATATCTGACAAATAGGAGATGTAAAAAACATTTTTATTATTAAGCTTTCTTCCCCCAAATTTCTTTTGTGCTTGAGAGTCAAAAAAGAACATACATAAGATGGAGGGGACCCAACTTTGAGCAGTTAACTGCACACAAAGCTCTTGACCCCAAGGTTACAATCGTTCACCAAGCATGTAGGATCCGCTAGGGTCCAATGTGCGGCTGAAGAGGGTCAGTGTGGGGCAGAGGTCACCTGCGTGGAGAAAGGAGCTGCGTTAGACATTGTGCAGAACGTTCCACGTGACTTTTTTCATCTCGTCCCTAGAGTCAGGCTGCGTGGTAGGTACTCTGATGATCTCCACTTGACAGATGAGAACACTGAGACGCAGGGAGTCTGAGCACCGTAGCCGGTTGTCCAACTGCAGAGTCAGGTCCCCTGCCTTCCTGGGGCCCAGGCGGCTCTGTACAGGGCCACCCCCCTCACCCTGCTGCAGTACAGGACGTGTGGATTCTGACCATCTCCTGGAGACTGTAAGTTCCCCGGGGGGCAGGAGAGGTGTGGACCTTTTTTAATTATACCCACCACCACCTCCAGGGTCGCCAGTCAGAGCCACAGTAAACCGACTAGCCGTGCTGAGGACAGGGTGCCACCTCCCACCGAGCTCCACAGTGGTCCCCTGGAGGACCGAGCTCTGGCCTGGGGGGTCCCACGAGGAGCCTGAAAGCCCGGCGTTGACTCTGGGCTCTGGTCTTTGCTGTGTGACATTAGGCAAGTCACCTAACCTCTGAGTCTCCGTTCTCTCATCTGAAAAGATGGGGATAAAATCTGCTTCCTGGGGTAGTTGTGAAAACAAGTGAGAAAATCATTGTGAAAGTGTTTAGTAAACTGCAATTAATATAAACATAAGCAAGTAACCGAGTCCTAGTTGAATGGCAACCCACTGACTGCCCGGACCCTCTGTCGCCTGCTCTCTGGCAACCTCGACGCCCCAGGGACCCTCACAGCTGAGTCTAGGAGGGCTGAGAAGGCAGGTGGAGAGGTCTGGCAAGAGTTGAGGCACTTGGCCTGGTGGCCCTGCCTGGTGGCCGAGGGACCACAATCTCTGACATTAGCCATGGCTTCCTGAGCTCTGGCTGATTCCCAGGACGTCACCTTCCCGTGACCATGGGAGGCAAGGACTGCTGGTGCCCCATGAGTGCCCAGAGGCTGGGGGAAGGGGCGGGCTCCCTCAGGCCGTGGAGCAGGGAGGATGCAAAGGCTCTGCTGTCCAGAGTCCTCTCACTCTGGCTTTGTGTATGTTTTGGTACCAAGGATCCAAGCCAGGGGCACTTGACCACGGAGCCGCATCCCCAGACCTGTTTTGTATTGCTTAGGGCCTCACCATTGCTGAGGCTGGCTTGGCACTTGCGATCCTCCTGCTTCGGCCTCCTGAGCTGCTGAGATTCCAGGCGTGTGCCCCAGCTCAGTGGACTCTAACTCTGGAGTCCCACACGGACCACCCCCGTGATCCACCTCGGGTGGCCCAGCTGTCTCACTGGATGCTTGGGGAGGTTTGTAAGGCCCAGAGCTGTGCATCCTACCCTCTGGGGCCCACTCCTCGGGGCATAGAATGCCAGAGATGCTGCTGACTCATGAAACAATAAGCCTCCCTCTGCACTGCCAGCTACTGCCCATGCTCCTCACCTGAGTCAGCAGAAAAACAGAGGTGTCCGTCTAGTTCTAACACATTTTCATCACTACTGTGTCAGTCTGTTTTGTGTTGCCGTCACAAAATACCCGAGGCCGAGTACCATATAAAGAAGGTAGGTAATTTACTTACAGTTCTGAAGGTCCAAATGACATTAGCTTCTGGTAAGGGCCTCCTGGTAGTTGACATCCCATGGTGGGAGCTCATGTGACACAGGTCATGTGGCCAGAGTGGGAGAAAGATTGAGAACCAGAATGCCAAACTTGCTTTTTGACAACCTCCTCTCTCAGTAACCAATCCAGTCCCAAGAGATGGGGATTAATTCCTCCCAGGGAGGGTGCCCCCATGACCTAAAGGCCTCCCCCTAGGCTCCGCCTTTTAAAGAGCCACTACCTTTCAGGGCTACAATACGTGGGACCAGGCTCCCAGCACAGAAGCCTGGGGGGACAGACCACATCACGAGGTGGTGAGCTGTGAGGTGTGTAACATGAACCCACCCATGTCCGCCCAAACACCACCCCTACTGTGCCCAGGTAAGTCTTCCTGGGGGCTCACCTGGCTTTGTGTCCATGGGTTTCAGTGGGAGAACCCAGGCAGGGTCCATGTCCGACCCCTCCTCAGAGCAGAAGCCCAGGGTGGGTGGGGTCAGGCAGATCAGCAGGAGCCAGCAGGAGGCTGGACAGGGCAGAGAAAGCGTCCCTCAGCCCCAGGAGCAGAGAGGCCCGGCTGACATGTTGGTTATATGAGCAATTTGTGAGTCTCCAGGCAGCTTCTCCAGCCTGGCACAGAAATTTCTAGCATACGGCACGCCTTCCCCGGAGCTGTACTGGTTGTGCCTCGTGTCACCGAGGCACTGTCACCTGTCTGCAGCGGAGGCTCTTCCTGTTGGCCCTGAGATCATCTCCAAGGCCTATTCCAGTCTCTCTGCGGCAGCGTCTGCCTTGGGCTGATAATGGTGCAGCGCAGGGAGGGAGGGAGGGGCTGGGGAAGAGGAGCGGAGGGGGCAGGGTCTCCCCTGGCTGGTCCCTCCCCTGCCTGCCCCTCTCCCTCCTCTGCCCCTGAGCCAGAGCCACATTGAAAAATTTTTCCCTTCGGATGCATTTCTGGTGTTTCTCGGTGGCTTTACCGAAAAGTCACTCCACAGAGCATCTTCGTTCTTGAAAGTGAGGCCTACCCAGGTGCTCCTGAGCTAAGCTGGTGTTTTCCGGAGGATCCTCTTAGATTGTGATTATTTAATGGACCATCAGCCCTGCTGGGAATGGCCACAAATACGACTATTGACAGGGGGGAGGATGCTTTTCCTGAGACACATTTGGCAAAGCAAATCCAGCTTCTTACAAGAAAAGAATGTAATGAATTTTTTCCTCTATTTTTAGTTGCGCATAAATCCCTTTCATAGGTTGGAGCTCAAAACTCCATATTTGTCTGGGTCTGAAGTGGAATCTACAGGACAAATGGAAAGGACAGCATATTTGTCCAGGGCTATGCATCGACCACCCTAGAACTGAGATCCCTAAACGTATCCAGGGGAGGGAAGGAAGGGACGTGCCTGGGGCCAGGCCAGATGGGGACAAAATGCCCACCGAGGGCCTGGGAACACCAGTTTTGGCAGTTAGTCCGAATCTCTGAGAAGGGATGATTCTGAATCTAGCCTTTAGGGAATTTAAATGAAGGCTCTGGTGGGGCAGGGTGCATGTGAATGTACCAAAAGGAAAATCAAAGAAAAAAAACAAGAGTTATAGGACCGGGGCCCTGGTCAGAGCCTAAGCAGCCCCATTGGAGGATGAACGCCTTTCAACATGCCAACCCAGAGTTCTTGTCCTAACCAGGGGACGTGGAAAGGATTGTACGGAATGAGAGAGGTGGGCCCGACTTCAGTAATCGGAGGGACAAGGGGGTGACATCATTCAGGGAAGTCAAGTCAGGGCCCGACCTAAAAGTTCACAGGTGTCACACCATGTCACCAGCCCTCCCAGGAAGCAGACGCATTGGTGGCTGAAGAAGTGGACAGCAAAGGGTAGAGCTGTGGACTTCAGAGGTAAAGAGCCCCAAAGAGAGCAGATGAGCAACCTAGATCCCTGGTGGAAATGTAGAAGGACGTTGGGGTGCGGGGTGGGGGTGGGCAAGGAGGAAGGGGAGCCATGGGCCAAGCCACCAGCAAACCCACCTCCGTTGACCATCCATTTGGGTGGCTGAGGTTGGGGAGGCCAACTCACATACTCTTTTGTTTTGGGAGGGGGAGGTACCAGGGATTGAGCTCAGAGCCACTCAGCCACTGAGCCACGTCCCCAGCCTTATTTTGTATTTTCTTTAGAGACAGGGTCTCACGGAGTTGCTTAGCATCTTGCTGTTGCTGAGGCTGGCCTTGAACTCACGATCCTCCTGCCTCAGCCTCCTGGGATCAAGGCGTGCACCGCCGCACTCAGCTCCCAACTCACATCTTCTTGCATCAGGGCCACTAGCGAGGAGGAAAGGGAAGCCTTTCAGCTCAGGTCACCTGCTGTCCCAGAGGTCCCCCCCGGTTCACCAGGCACCAGCTTTAGTAAATCAGCAGAGTCCAGAGTCCCTCCCTCTCCCAAACCCAGGCAGGTGACACCCCTGTACAAGTAGCCACAGGCCAAAGAATGGTACTGGCCTTCCCGACGATGCTCTGTGCTTCTCAAAACACCTGAATGTGTTCCCCTTCTGTCCCCCTTGACCCACAGTGAGCCAGTGAGGCAGGGACAGCATCTTAGTGTCCTCGTTGAGAAATCAAGGCACAAAGAGGCCCAGCCACTGGGAAGGGTCTAAAATCCTGCAGGAGAGAGCAGGTCTCTGCCTCCGCGGCTGACGGCCCTCTGGAGCGTCACCCGAACTAGTGGAATACAACCTTCCTCTCCTGTTGGTATGAGTCTAAGCAGATCCTTTGGGATGCACATGACCCGGACATAAATGACTCCTCTTTAAATCTCCATATACAAAAATGACAACAAACAGAACTCCCTGAGTCTGCCCTGCCAACCAACAGACTTGAAAAGCAATCAATCTGCCGGGTCAAGACACTTTGTAGTATAAACGCCCATTAAAGCCTTTTAAAAGGGCCTTGGCCACCTTTCAGTTTTTAAAACGGGGCTGGGGCAGGAGCTCAATGGTAGAGCACTTGCCTTGCGCATGCGGGGCACTGGGTTGGATCCTCAGCACCACATATAAATAATGGTATAAATAATAGTATTGTGGCATCTACAACTGAAAATAGTTTTTTAAATGGCTTTTCTTGCTTTCTGTTTTTTCTTTTTCTTTCTTTCTTTTTTTTTTTTTTGGCTTCTCGTGGCTGTATGTTTTAAGAATACAACACAAATCTGCCCTCACTAAGGTCAAAGTGCACAATTCCATGTTAATGACTATGGGTACCGCACTGTACAGAGCAGATGTCTAGAATTCATTCACTGTACTTTAAGGATAATGGGAATACCCTGAGTCCCTCCGATGTGGTCACCTGGGGTGTCTGCTGGTTCAACCAAAGCTGGGAACCTACACAGTGCCTGATCCATGCGTGTTTCCTGGGGAAGCAGTTATTGCACAACTGATAGCCAAGTGTAATTTCTCAGCCAGATGTTTTCGTCCATAGAGAACAGACTTAGGCTTTGAGATTTTTGTGGGGGGTGGGGGGCGTGGGGTTCTGGGGACTGAACTCAGGGGCACTCGACCACTGAGCCACATCCCCAGCCCTGTTTTGTATTTTACTTAGAGACAGGGTCTCACTGAGTTGCTTAGGGCCTCACTAAGTTGCTGAAGCTGGCTTTGAACTCATGATCTTCCTGTCTCAGCCTCCCAAGCCTCTGGGGATTACAGGCGTGGGCCAGAGACTTTTTAAAACTAAATCACAATATTGAATCTGCTCCAAATTCTACATTCTCAACCCACACCACGTGGATGATAACGGGCTCCGCGTCCCCCCAGCCCACCACTGTGTCCACTCCTGGCCAGTCTCCCTGTGATGGGCAGGAGGGTGAACCCTTCACAAGTGCTGTTCCTTTTATGTGAGTGAGCAGAAGGACCAGCCCAACCTACATTTCCGTTTTAAGGGAAGTGTGCTTTGAAAGAGGGACACTTGTGCAGGCTTTCTGCTTCCCCCAGGCGACAGGGAAACCTAGATGGTCACAAAGGCAGTCGTCCACTTTTCCTGTCGTAATGAAGGTATAGACCACCGTGGATGCAAATCGCCAACCAGTGCACCTGGTAAATTGAAAAAGCAAACAAAACCCCAAAACTACGGAGTGCACTCATTGACTCTTCTTGTCCCTTGGCCCCACGTTATGATTTAGATCTTAAATGCATCCAAAGGCCCACAGCTAAGGGCTGGACCTCTCCCACAGAACTATTTGGAGGTGGTGAAACCTTTAGAGGCAGGTGTACCGGAAGGAAATGAGGATATTAAGGACATGCCTGTAAAGGCCATATTGGAATCCCAGCCTCTTTCTCACTTTCCCTTTGATTATTGACCACCACGAGGTGAACAGATCCCCTGTGTCACATACTCCCACCGAGACGTACAGTGTTGCCATAGGAACAAAACAACGGGGCCCATCAACTACTGACTAAAACCTCTGAATCAATGAGCTACCATCAATCTTCTTTAAGTTGATTATCTCAGTTATTTTGTCACAATCACGAAAACCCGACTAGCACATTCCCCAAAGACGCAGAGGCGTCACAGAGTTGTAACGACATCTCTGTTGGTTCCTGAAACTTTCTACCCCTCTATGGCTGGATCCTGCACCAAGCTCTTTGCTGGGGTTATCTGGTGTGGACTCTTGTTTTCTGCTGGGACCCAAACAGATAGATATTAACTTTATCATCTGTGATGGTTTTAATATGTTGCCCAAAATTTCATGATATAATCCCCAAAGTCAACTGTTAGCAGTATTTGGAGATTGAACCGTTGAGAGACAATTAGGATTAAATAAGGTCATGAGGGCCCCCTGATAGCATGAGGGGCTTTTTAAGAAGAAGAGAGAACTGGGCTAGCACCTGGTTGTGTCTTGCCCTCTTCCACGAGAGGTGTCACAAGAAGGCCTTCATCTGATGCCAAGCTGATGCTGGCCAGGCTCTCAGACTTCCCAGCTCCAGACGTACGAGTCCTACAACTTCAATTCTTTATAAATCATCCAGTCTGTGGTATTCGGTTATAGCTACAGAAAACAGGCAGAGCTATCACCCAAGATGGATGGATCAATGCTCTCCACTCCCTTCTCTGGTAGCATTTGGAGCCTCCACTGCAATCATCACATTTCTTCTGGTCTCTGCCTTAAACCATAGGCTCCCTGAGTCCCGACGCTGACTTACTCTTTACCCACAGCACCCAGGATGCGTGGAGGTCTAGGATGCGTGGAGGCCCCGTGTGGGAAGTTCCGCACTGCTCCAAGGCGCTTGGAATTGTGGTTAAACAAACAGGGTCTGCCCCCTTCATTAACACCTGCTACCTGCCAGGCTGGGTGCAGGGAGGCAGGAGCAGACCCACGGACAAGCTGGACTTCCCGTGACCCTCAAGGAATCTATAATCTAATCATTTGAGGAACTGACAGGAAAATTGTGAAGTGTTTGTGCAGGGGCGGGAGGGTGTGGGCAGCCACGGGTAGCCCAAGGCAGGCTTGGAAATCTCAAATGCTACAGGGCCAGGCAGGCCATATAAATGTGGGAATCCAGCCCGGTGGGCCCAGAGGGACTGGGGAGAGTGGGCCCTATCCACAGAAGGCCACTCATCCTCGGCTGGAGCAAACGGAGCCCCGGGACCGTCTGGACCAGTGTCTGTCCCCCGTTTTCCAAGTGAAGTAAGAAAACAGGATTTTTCTTTTTGAATATCCGTAAGCAATCCCCATATAGAATGTATGGATAGACTATCTGAGGATGAGCGAGAGTCACCACGTGAGGCTCATGTGTGTGCGTGCATGAGAACGCACACGT